AACTACTCAACGACCAATTATCTCGGCAATTGTTATTGATTTCATCCTCAAATGAATTGAACATTTCTGTGTGTGTTTAACACTGTCTTCCTGCACATTTGTGTCAGTGGCGGTGCTCCCATAGTGACTCCCAGTGATACTGGACCATCTTGCTACCTGACCTTCAGTGTTGTAGCATTGTAATGACAGGTGTGTGTGTGTCTTAATTATGGGGGTGAACCAGGGGGGGGGGGAGGGGTAGCCTCGCTGTGATTGGTCGAGGAGGGCCCATGATGGTCAGGCTTCACATTGTGCTTGCTTGCTTGCTTGCTTGGGTGCCTTCTTGTCTATCTTACTTCTTGCTTGCCTGCCTCCGTGCACGAGTGGCGGGCAAGCAAGAAGGTAATCAAGTATTAATCCCTGATTACTCAGGCTGGCCAATTACGAATATTAGGGTGACGCTGTGGTTGAGTAATTACGACTTTTGAGATCATTAGCGCCGAGGTTTGACCTCTTAGGCTAATTAAGTGCCCACTAATTAAAATACTGAACCTGAACCACTGTATAAACTAGTGCCCCCCCCCCTAGTCTCCACTAGGGGGGGGGGCCCTAGTTGAGACTAGTTATCTTCCCAGCTAGTTATCTTTTCGGGAGGTTGGGGGTTGGGTTGGGTTTTAGATCTTGGTCCCCGTCCTTCAGTCGACTTTTGGTGCATAGCTTGTGGCGACCTTGTGGTAGTTTCCAGGATCAATTTCCCCGTGGCCCGGTCTCCGAACAGGCCTCCCGGTTGGTCGTCTGCTCAACCCTGACGTATGAGACACAGCCTGGTTGATCAGGTATCCTTTGGAGGTGTTTATCCAGTTCTCTCTTGAACACTGTGAGGGGTCGGCCAGTTATGTCCCTTATGTGTAGTGGAAGCGTGTTGAACAGTCTCGGGCCTCTGATGTTGATAGTTCTCTCTTGAACACTGTGAGGGGTCGGCCAGTTATGTCCCTTATGTGTAGTGGAAGCGTGTTGAACAGTCTCGGGCCTCTGATGTTGATAGTTCTCTCTTGAACACTGTGAGGGGTCGGCCAGTTATGTCCCTTATGTGTAGTGGAAGCGTGTTGAACAGTCTCGGGCCTCTGATGTTGATAGTTCTCTCTTGAACACTGTGAGGGGTCGGCCAGTTATGTCCCTTATGTGTAGTGGAAGCGTGTTGAACAGTCTCGGGCCTCTGATGTTGATAGTTCTCTCTTGAACACTGTGAGGGGTCGGCCAGTTATGTCCCTTATGTGTAGTGGAAGCGTGTTGAACAGTCTCGGGCCTCTGATGTTGATAGTTCTCTCTTGAACACTGTGAGGGGTCGGCCAGTTATGTCCCTTATGTGTAGTGGAAGCGTGTTGAACAGTCTCGGGCCTCTGATGTTGATAGTTCCCTCTTGAACACTGTGAGGGGTCGGCCAGTTATGTCCCTTATGTGTAGTGGAAGCGTGTTGAACAGTCTCGGGCCTCTGATGTTGATAGTTCTCTCTTGAACACTGTGAGGGGTCGACCAGTTATGCCCCTTATGTGTAGTGGAAGCGTGTTGAACAGTCTCGGGCCTCTGATGTTGATAGTTCTCTCTTGAACACTGTGAGGGGTCGACCAGTTATGCCCCTTATGTGTAGTGGAAGCGTGTTGAACAGTCTCGGGCCTCTGATGTTGATAGTTCTCTCTTGAACACTGTGAGGGGTCAATTTTTCACCTGGGGCCCTGACAGCTGAGTGGACAGCACTCGGGATTCGTAATCCTGAGGTTCCGGGTTCGATCCCCAGTGAAGGCGGAAACAAATGGGTAGTTTCTTTCACCATAATGCGTCTGTTCACCTAGCAGTAAATTGGCACCTGGGAGTTAGACAGCTCTTACGAGCTGCTTCCTGGGGATGTGTAACAAAAAGGAGGCCCTGGTCGAGGACCGGGCCACGGGGACGCTAAGCCCCGAAATCATCTCAAGATAACCTCAAGATAACATATTATTATCAGTGACCCATTTAAAGACCCGATTTACATCAGCTTAAAGGTTTGCTGTGTCCTCTATAGTGTCATCTGCCAATGATGATACAGTGCTGTAGTTTGTCTCCTTGTCTGTGTCTGATATTAGCATGAGAAAAAGTACCCGAGCAAGCACGGTACCTTGGGGGGACTGAGCTCTTCACAGTAGATGATGCGGATTTTACTGTGTTGACTACAGGCGAGGAGTCACAATAACGTGGCTAAAGTGTGTTGACCAGACCACACACTAGAAGGTGAAGGGACGACGACGTTTCGGTCCGTCCTGGACCATTCTCAAGTCGATTGTGATTGGTCCAGGACGGACCGAAACGTCGTCGTCCCTTCACCTTCTATTGTGTGGTCTGGTCAACATTGTGTTGACTATTACACTCTACATTCTGTCTCCTCCCAAGTCTTTCTCTTTTTCTACAGGGAGGGGGAAAGTTGTCTTCTTTTCATTGTATATTGTATTTGAGGACCTTTCACACCCATTCTTCTGTTCATAACCTTGCATTTGGATGGGTTAAAGTCCAGCAGCCATCCCTTAGCCCATGATAGAGATTGTCTAGTTCACCTTGCATAATATTTTCATGCCTATTCTGTCAAGATCCTTCATGTTTATTTTGCATCATCACAAATATGGGATATGACAGGTGTCAGGCATGAGGACAGCGCATGCCAGGTGTGGACGTGGCAGGTGTGTGAGAGGTTGAACTGCCAGGTGTGGGAGGAGAATGAGGCGCTAGACTGCCAGGTGTGGGAGGAGAATGAGGCGCTGGGCTGCCAGATGTGGGAGGAGAATGAGGCACTGGGCTGCCAGGTGTGGGAGGAGAATGAGGCACTGGGCTGCCAGGTGTGGGAGGAGAATGAGGCACTGGGCTGCCAGGTGTGGGAGGAGAATGAGGCACTGGGCTGCCAGGTGTGGGAGAAGAATGAGGCGCTGGGCTGCCAGGTGTGGGAGAAGAATGAGGCGCTGGGCTGCCAGGTGTGGGAGAAGAATGAGGCGCTGGGCTGCCAGGTGTGGGAGGAGAATGAGGCACTGGGCTGCCAGGTGTGGGAGAAGAATGAGGCACTGGGCTGCCAGGTGTGGGAGAAGAATGAGGCGCTGGGCTGCCAGGTGTGGGAGGAGAATGAGGCACTGGGCTGCCAGGTGTGGGAAGACCTTATCAGCAGACAGTGGGGGCGGAGACCCTGCCTCTCTCCTGGTGTCCTTGAAGCCTCTACACACCTGCAGACCCTGCCTCTCTCCTGGTGTCCTTGAAGCCTCTACACACCTGCAGATCACCCCTCCAACCACGCCCACACGCACACACCCACGCCCACACGCACACACCCACGCCCACACGCACACACCCACGCCCACACGCACACACCCACGCCCACACGCACACAACCACGCCCACACGCACACACCCACGCCCACACGCACACACCCACGCCCCCACACGCACACACCCACGCCCACACGCACACACCCACGCCCACACGCACACACCCACGCCCACACGCACACACCCGCGCCCACACGCACACACCCACGCCCCCACACGCACAAGCATAGAACCACACGCAATTAACAATAGTCTGCATGGAATATTGCTGCAAGAAATGAAGTAATACCAGATTTAGACAATACTCAGACAATACTGCTCTCACGCAGCCATAGAGAGTAGCTCTTACTGCTCTCACGCAGACATAGAGAAACTCTTAACCTAACCTAACCGCTGGAAAGTAAACCGCTCCCCCCCCCACCACCAGTACCCACGGTGAGTCTATATCACAAACACTGTCATCAACCAATTAGCTCCCTCCACTGACCCCAGAGAGAGAGAGAGAGAGGACCCCCCCCCCTCGTGGGCGTACCAGCACGTCTGGGAGCCTCTGAGGGCGTACCAGCACGTCTGGGAGCCACTGTGGGCGTACCAGCACGTCTGGGAACCACTGAGGGCGTACCAGCACGTCTGGGAGCCACTGAGGGCGTACCAGCACGTCTGGGAGCCACTGAGGGCGTACCAGCAAGCGTGGGTGTGTCCGTCAACAGACAATCTGGTCCTGTTTGTGCAATGATTCGTAAAAAAATTACACCAACATTGGGTACACCCTTGTACCAATGTTGTCATTTTGGCATAGGGGGGCCACCCCTTTGCTTGTTCCAGCCGCCGTGTACACACTAGCGGACCCCTAGTGCCACCATCAGGGGAGAAGGCACTAGTTACACCGTAAACAACACAGTTCACTACCGAATTTTAAAGCTTCAACCGAACCCTATTGAGGTATCTTACCTGGCCCAATAGGTAACCTAACCTAACCCAACCACCAGTACCCACCACCACCACCAGTACCCACTACCAGTACCTCTGGTATCACAATACACACTACAGTAGTCTTCAAATATATCATCACACTCCAGTTTAGCACAAACCGGTTCTTCTCATGGGCAGCAATGTGTTGATGGGAGTTTTTTTTAGCAGGTGTTGATGTCTGGTGACTGTTTGCCTTTCCATTGGAGACTTTCGGCGTCGTGGAGAAAGGGGGACCTGCTGCATGGGTAACAGCTTCTCCTGCATATCAGCCTACCCTGGCTTTGCGCCCTGGAGAGGCCACTCCAGACCGACAACAATAGTCTTCTGAGACTGATGGATGCCTACTATAGGTGTTGTATGGGGGTGTGGTCGTGGTACACATTACAGGAGCTCATTGCACACATTTGGAGTTATAAATTGCGACTTTTTACACCGAAAATACACAAATAGACATATTTTACATTTAAATATAGACTTTAGAGGCTTAGGCAATTAGGGGAAATGACACAATTACGAACATTTGTTACACAGTAGAACAGAACAGTGTTGGACCGGTACAGACAGGTGTTGGCCCCTTACCTTTACTGCCAAACATTAGGTGTACTGGGCCAAGTAGAGGTGTGTAGTGGTGGGGGTGTAGTGGGGAAAGATGTGGGTGAGGGGTGTAGTGAGGAAAGGTGTGGGGGTGTGTGTAGGGAAGTGCCAACCTTTGCAAGCCTTGCGGTGGATGATGGGTCGAGTGCCATCGCGGTAGAAGCCCTCCTTGCAGTAGTGACAGTGCCGCCCTGCAGTGTTGTGGCGGCACTTGTGGCACACCCCGCCACTCACACGCCCTGACAACTTGTACAGCTCCATGTTGAACCGGCAGCGGCGAGCGTGCAGGTTACAGTTGCACGCTGGGATATGCAAGAAGAACAACACATCATTAGAGTGAGAATTACTTTATCCTATAACTATCTACGGGCTCACCATAGCCCGTGCTACTTGGAACTTTTTGTGCCAAGTAGCAAATCTTTAACAGCAACAGTTCATCCTAGAATATTTCCTTATAATGATAACCAATTAATATTCCCTCACGTTGCCAAATATGCTAAGCTATATTTTGCTACTTTTTAAATATAAAACTAGAGTGGGGAACTGCCAGACAGCTAAATGTCTAGACACTTTAACTAACAAAATATAAAATTTAATTTACACTATTATACACCTGGTTAGTTCAGTCATTATTGTAACGATTTAAACAAGTCATTAGGAAAATAGTTTCTAATTCTGATTTTGAGAATTGTAATCATTTTAAAATAACTGATAAATGTAGCTTCTAAATCTAATTCTTGAGTAAACAGTTTACAATTACAAGTATTTATGTTGATATTATAACCTCATATGTAAACAATTTACTGTTTTCTTTACTGTATTACTGTTATTCTTGTTGTAAACAACCTCGTTGTGTTTCGGAGCTCATAAACTGTTTGATAAATGTAAACAAAGCCGCCACGATTGTGGAATGATGTACTGGTTTCGTAAAGGGTTGGGGTAAGTGCTTATATATCTAGTATCTTCAGTGAGATAGTAGAGAGATGAAGCAACAGGCTACTGGAACACACACTGGATGGGTTCAGTTCATATTATAATGGTAACATGGGTTCAAATATGAGTTAAACAATGGGTTCAAGGGTTCACTCCACCACAGCCTCTACCACAGCCTATACCACAGCCTCCACCACAGCCTCCACCACAGCCTCCACCACCACCACAACCACCACCACAACCACCACCACAAGCTCCACCACAGCCTCCACCACAGCCTCCACCACCACCACAACCACCACCACAACCACCACCACAGCCTCCACCACAGTCTCCACCACAGCCTCCACCACCACCACAACCACCACCACAACCACAACCACCACCACAGCCTCCACCACAGCCTCCACCACAGCCTCCACCACCACCACAACCACCACCACAACCACCACCACAACCTCCACCACAGCCTCCACCACAACCACCACCACAACCACCACCACAACCACCACCACAACCTCCACCACAACCTCCACCACAACCACCACCACAACCTCCACCACAACCACCACCACAACCACCACCACAACCTCCACCACAACCACCACCACAACCTCCACCACAACCACCACCACAACCACCACCACAACCACCACCACCTCCACCACCACCACCACCACACCACCACCACCACCACCACCACCACAACCACAACCACCACCACAACCTCCACACAACCACCATCACAACCACCACCACAACCACAACCACCACCACAACCTCCACCACAACCACCACCACAACCACCACCACAACCACCACCACCTCCACCACCACCACCACCACAACCACCACCACAACCACCACCACAACCACAACCACCACCACAACCTCCACCACAACCACCACCACAACCACCACCACAGGGAATGTGAGGGAGGTGGGGGCACGATGTAAGGAATAATAAGATGGGCACTTAATTACGGCTCACTGTATAATGCTTCCATATAAAGTGGCTTCAAGTGGGGGTGGGTAAGATGGGGCCCTCCCCTTCCCCCCCAGATGGTTATGGGGGCAACGCCCACCACCTGTCACACCCCCCCACCCCCACCACAACCCCCTCCCCCCCCAGGAACACGTGGCTGCCCCTTACTAAAGTGACAGACCGCATGTAAGGTCAAGCAGAGGTTAACAAAGGTGCGGCCCAGCACCTTACCTGTCCTGACACCTGTCTATTCCTCGCACCTTTGTTGGTGCTGGGGGGGGGGGAGGGGGGTGCCTGGGGCCAGTATGTTGCTCATACCACAACATATGTTGATGATATCACTATGTGTGTGTTATATCACTACATGTTGATGATATCACTACATATGTTGATGATATCACTATGTGTGTGTTATATCACTACATGTGTTGTTGATATCACTATGTGTGTGTTATATCACTACATGTTGATTGATGATATCACTACATATGTTGATGATATCACTACATATGTTGATGATATCACTACGTGTGTTGATATCTCTGGTTAAGTGAATGGTTTCAGTGGCACTCATAAGTGGAAGGTTTCAGTGGGATAGAGCCAGTAGGCACTCCCGGCTCAGCCCCCCCCCACCCCAGGCACAGCCTGTTGGGCACGCCCGCTAATAATTATACGGTCTGTGTTCATTGGTCCGCCCGTGTCAAGATGGCACGCCCACACGCCTATCCTATAGGGAGGCACGCCTCTCCCACGCCCACACGCCCGTCCTATAGGGAGGCGCGCCCTATAGAACGTGCCACCGTCGTTATCTATCCGTGCCCCTTGCTATCCTCAGCACTGGACATTATCTGCGGGCATCAACAGGAAAGATATCATCTTCTTTAGTAAATGGCTACTGCTTCTACCTTTCTCCTCTATCATGGTGACTTTCTCAGACGAAAATCTTTGGAACGGGGATCGAACCAGCGTCCTTGGTAAGCGCAGACGCGCACTTTCACCCACGAATCACCATGACTTTCTGTTGCCTGTCTGTTAGGTATTCTCTCTGCTTCACACTTTGTCTCAGTTGCCATATCCTGCTTTTATCATGCGTACGGCAGTTTAAGGCGAGTGTGAATATTGTGAAGCTACTGAACAGTGGGAATATGAATCAGTCTAGCCAGCCCCCCCCCCTTTCCCAGACCCCAGACCCCCACACACCCCCCCCCACTATACTGCTATAGCCTCTCACATCTGGCAACACTGCCTCTACAGGGTGGTGCGCAAATAAACTTGGATTAAAATTAATTTTACATTTCCGCCTTTCTCAGTGGCGAACTGAAATTATTGTATGTGTGAGTGAGAGTGTTTTGCGTGTGAGTCGTTTGAGTGAGAGTGGTTGTGCGTGAGGGGGGGAGGGGGAGGGGGTCAATATGACTCAAGACAAATATTACCCCACGAGGATATGTCCGGATCAGACACGCACATTGACCAAATAAAAGCATTATACTCCTTCAGTCTCGCCGTCAGGAGATGGTCAATAGCAACCCACAAACACTCTGGAACTCTGAGAGGTGTGAAGGGGCGGGGTCCCAGCCTCGTCCCTGGTGAGGGGCGGGGTCCTAGCCTCGTCCCAGGTGGGGAGCGGGGTCCCAGCTTCGTCCCAGGTGGGGGGCGGGGTCCCAGCTTCGTCCCAAGTGGGGGGGCGGGGTCCCATACCTGTGCTGGGGGTCCCATGCCTGTGCTGGGGTTCCCAAACCTGTGTGCTGGGGTCCCATACGCGAGCTGGGGGTCCCATACATGCATCTCTCTCTCTCTCTCTTACACACACACACACACACACACACACACACACACACACACACACACACACACACACACACACACACACGCATACACACACACACACACCATCTACAGATCATTTCGTACTATTTCATAAAACATTTTTATCTGGGTGTATCATCGATGTCAAAGTGAGCTTTACTAATCTTGGCTCGGCTCTCCAACAGGAACTATCAAACAGGAGGAGACAGTGCTCTGTGCCGCCTCCCTATACACCACTAAATTGCAATATTCCAATATATGAGATTTCACAGATATGACTATACGCCCCTGAACCAGAACATATTCTGTTCAATTTGTTCAGAGACTTCAATTCCGCGAGCTACGGAATTAGTTTGCTGAATGGGAGCCTCTTCAACCCTGGTAGGCCAAACCAGTCCAGTCAATCAACTGGAAACTGGATGACAGGCTGACTGGAGCTCCAGTCGTTCTCTGCTGATGGCCCCCATGCAGTTGTGGGAGACCACTGACTGTACCACCATGGGTGGTGGGTGCTTTGACTCCCACCATGGGTGGTAGCGTGGGTGCTCTGACTCCCACCATGGGTGGCAGCGTGGGTGCTCTGACTCCCACCATGGGTGGCAGCGTGGGTGCTCTGACTCCCACCATGGGTGGCAGCGTGGGTGCTCTGACTCCCACCATGGGTGGCAGCGTGGGTGCTCTGACTCCCACCATGGGTGGCAGCGTGGGTGCTCTGACTCCCACCATGGGTGGCAGCGTGGGTGCTCTGACTCCCACCATGGGTGGCAGCGTGGGTGCTCTGACTCCCACCATGGGTGGCAGCGTGGGTGCTCTGACTCCCACCATGGGTGGTAGCGTGGGTGCTCTGACTCCCACCATGGGTGGCAGCGTGGGTGCTCTGACTCCCACCATGGGTGGCAGCGTGGGTGCTCTGACTCCCACCATGGGTTGCAGCGTGGGTGCTGGAGAGGGCGTGAGGATAGGAGTGGACAGGAAGGCTAAGGCGCATGAACGAGCCACTCCTGAAGGACAGACATATGCAAATTTCATGTAAAGGGCGCATGCAGATATATATATATATGTTGGAAAACAAAGAAAGGATTAGAATGCAGTTATCACCACCTCAAAAAAATTAAATATGCTTCGGGAAGGTCAGTGTCGATATGGATCAACATGTATAAGTTTTTCCACCCTGACATGTGCCTAACCTCACTCGAGGACAGAAAATGCTATGACCTCAGCTGCCCAGACTTTCACGTGAGAGGCACGGAACGCTACATAAAGACTGGTAAGCAGGATAATGAATTTGGAAGAAAAATAATATTTTATACCATCTTGAGGTTATCTTGAGATGATTTCGGGGCTTAGTGTCCCCGCGGCCCGGTCCTCGACCAGGCCTCCACCCCCAGGAAGCAGCCCGTGACAGCTGACTAACTCAGTTGTCGAGTTGTCAACTCGACAACTGAGTTGGTGGGTAGAGTCAGGACCCCATCAGGTGGGGTAGAGTCAGGACCCCAGCAGGTGGGGTAGAGTCAGGACCCCAGCAGGTGGGGTAGAG